GCACAAATACACAGAGAAACAGGGGTTCATACAACCCACACCCTTCTCCTCCTGGACTCTCTCTGTGTTCCTCTATCTCTACCTCTGTATCTCTGTGTCTCTCTATCACACACACACACACACACACACACACACACACACACGCAGAGGAATCTGCCTAGGGCCAGGCTGCAGCTAAGGAAGGGCCTGTTTTTGCTCAGAGAAAGGGACTGGAGGGCAGGATGTGGTTTCTTGGTTGCTCCTGTCCCGGGGCCCCCACCCGGGATCCGGGTCTGGGAGGGAGCCCAGCTCAGAACAAAGTCCACGCTGACCGCTGTGCACCCTGGACTCCCTCCGCCCTTCACTAGAGTACAGAGGCGCAGGCCTCCAACAGCCCCTCTCCAAGCCCTGTTCTGCCCTGAAGAAGGCTTCCAGATTCTGGAGGACAAAGGGGTCAGTTCCCCCATGTGCCTCAAGTTGCCATTTCAGGGTTCCGGGGTCTCAATCCTCTCCATGACTTTATGTGGTAGAGCTTGTGATCCCCGTTTACAGGTGAAGAAACTGAGGTTTGGGATGGTGAAGGGTGCTACCCAAGATCACCAGCTAATAGCAGACCTGATATTTGAACCTAGTTTTCTCTGGTTCTAATTTTGGGTGTCCAAGTCTTGCCTGTCTCCTCATAGACCAGGTTCCTCACAGGGATGGTGGGGAGGTAAGGAATAGGGGAAAGGGGTCTGGTCCTTTCCAGGAACAATGAAGCAGTGGCCTGGGTCCCTTTCTTTAGAGGTCGATTTGGCCACTACCACCTGCCCCCCTCCCGACCCCGGCTGCTGGCCAGACCAGAGAGTGGACAGCTCACTCTGTATTCTTCCTTCAGCCCCACCTGGGAAGGCAGGTATTAGGTACCAGCCCAGCCCCACACCCCTTTCTCCTCTCTGAATGACCCCTTCCTGAATGACTGGGTCATCTTACACAGGAACTTCCCTTTTCTGAGCTTTTTCCCCCATCAGTGACATAGAGGGAGTAACTCTGGCATTGCCGACCTCATGAACAGAAAATAGAATGCAAAATTCACTCATTTTTAGAGTCATCTACATGGGCATGGGGTTGTACCACAATGACTGCAGACTAACGTCAAAGCCCTTTTGCTCAGCTCTCTGTGGTGGCCAGAGATGCTCAGTGCCCCCCAATAACAGAATCCCCAGAAAGCTCCACCCTCTCTGTTCAGAGCCTGGCTCATCCTGCCCGTTTCTGCCCTTCCAAGCCCAGGGCTGAGGAGTCAGGGGATCAGAGCAAGTCCAAGGAGCCCAATTCTTCTGGGAAAAAGAACTTTGGGGAGAAGCCAGGCAGCCTCCAAAACCTCTCCATCTCCCTGAATCCAAACCAGGTCTGCAAACTCGGCCTGGAACAGGACAGAGGCAGACAGCAGGGCCTTCCACCTCCACCCAGCGCAGCCCCAAGGCGGTAAAGGTGAGAGCCAGGCAGTAATGCTAATGCGTCTGCAGTCTTGGCTCCTGAAAGATCCCAAGTACACCAGAGAAGTCAAGACCTGGCTGAGGGACTTTGGGGAAGGTTCTGGGGCAGTAGGGGGCAGACAGGGGTGTCTCCTGTGGCTAGGGTCAGTAGCTGGGCTGGAGGACAGGGAAAGGAAGGGAATGAGTCCAGAAAGGAATTGGAAGGGGGGTGCTGAAAAATGGGCTGGCACTTAGCTAGGGGGCAATCTGTCCATATCTGGATTCTCAGCCAGGGTGGAGTCAGCCTTCACCAAGGCCATGCCCCCTCATCCTGCCCCCTCCTGTGCTGGGACAAATTCCAAGGCCTGTACAGGTCCACTCCCCAAAGCTCTCAGTTCTTTAGGTCTGGGGGTAGGAACAAGAGGTGGCTCCCTTGACACCAGTCAGGCCACCCAAGCCTGCACCTCCTCTCTGCTCTAGCAACCTCACAGCACCTTTGGACATCTCCCCACTCCACAAACAGGCCGACGACACCCCCCAGCCCAGGAGCCCAGAGGCAGGAAAGGCAAGAAGGACAGTGAGGGCTGCAGAGAAGGACTGTGGAGGTCCATCTGTGGTCTGCTCGCCAGTAGCATCCAGGGGGCCAAGGTGTCTCTGTGTGTCCCAGTGCACATCCCGGTATATGTTGTCACCCAGAGAAGTCAGAATGGGGGGTCAGACAAGTGTGTGAGGGGGACACGGCCGCGTCCACAGGAGCAGGGAGCCTCCTATGTGTTTGCCGCAGGGCCTGGGGTGGGAGGAGGGCACTCAAGTTCCACCTGGGAGGTCAGGAAGAAGGACAACTAGCTGCCTCCGCAGGGCCCCTGGGGCTATGAGTCAAAAGCTGTGCCGGGGGTGCTGCTGAGGGGGTGATGGAACTGGGTGTCCACACCCTGACCCTCTCCGTCTTCCCCTAGCCTTCTCGCAGGGTGTGTGAGGAGCGAGCAGGGTGGGCTGGGGGCAGGCACCGCGGGGAGGGGTCAGAGGCGTGGTGGGAGAGGTGAGGTCAGGGGAGGGGACGAGTCGGGGCGTAACCCGGAGGCGGGCAAGGGTCTCCGAGGAGAAGGAGTTGGGAAAGTGGTCTGGGGAGATGCGGCGCAGAAGTCAGCGCAGGGCGGCCGCGGGGCAGCTGGGGGCCTGGTGGAGGGCGGGGGCGGCGAGGAAGCGAGATCCGCGGGGTTGGTACCGTCAGCCGCCGTCCAAGCCCCCACCTCGGGCCGCCGTCCGAGCCCCCTTCCAGCCCCCGGGGCGCCCAAATCTCCAGTCCCTGCTCCACCCCCGGGGCTTCGGTTCCCACCGCCTGCGGTCGCGGAGTTTCGCTCAAGTCCCGGCTGCTCCTGCCCGGACCGGCTCCCGCAGCGCGCAGGGCCCCCTGCCTCCCCGCCTTCCCCCGGGGAACGCGGGTCTCACCTGGGGGCGGGGGCCGGCCCTGCCCACCGCCCCGAGCAGCAGC